TCCCCCTCGGAGTGCCCACAGAATGGACGCAGGTACACACACACACACACACACACACACACACAGACAGGTGTGTCTCCCAGACTCTGTTTCTGTTTCCAAACACCAACCTCCTGCTGCTCCTCTTTCTCAGCAGCCTGGTGGAGGAGGAGGAGCTGAGGCAGCTGGCTGGCTCCAGCAGCCGGACGGACGACGACCCTGAGGTCACGCACTTCTACGTCAACCCCATCGCCAAGCCCATCCCACAGGGCCGCGCCCACAACAACCTGCAGGACACCATCAGTGAGCTGAACATGCACAAGGCAACCAGGAACGGGCTGGAGGTGACACACACACACACACACTGACACACACACTGACACACTGACACACACACTGACACACACACACTGACACACACACACACTGACACACACATACACACTGACACACACACACACTGACACACACACACACACTGACACACTGACACACACACTGACACACACACACTGACACACACACACACTGACACACACATACACACTGACACACACACACACAGACACACACACACACACACTGACACACACACACACTGACTCTTCACTGGTTCTGGTTCCTCAGCTGAGCAGCGATGACGTTTCTGCCTCTCTGGGGGAGGAGTCTCTGCAGGAGGATGGAGACGAGGAGCAGCAGGAGGTGCAGCAGGAGGTGCAGCAGGAGGTGCAGCAGGAGGTGCAGCAGTCTCCTCACCCTGCAGGTGAGACATCAACTCTCCTGGGTCATTGAAATGTTTCTGTAGGTCGTGGCTGACGGGACAGGTCACATGACTGAAACCAGTCCTGATCCAACCTCAGCCGCTGGTTGGTCCCTGCGGCGTGGTGGGGCTGCTGCTGCTGCTGCTGCTGCTGGTGGTGGTTGCTGCTCCTCCTCCTCTTCTTTCACCTCCATCAGTCTGAGCAGAGCCTGACTCTCCTCATCAGTCCGTAGATGGACCGGGCCAGGTGCCTCAGATTGAGCCACTCAGAGTGTGTGTGTGTGTGTCAGTGTGTGTGTGTCAGTGTGTCAGTGTGTGTGTGTGTCAGTGTGTGTGTGTCAGTGTGTGTGTGTGTCAGTGTGTCAGTGTGTGTGTGTCAGTGTGTCAGTGTGTGTGTGTCAGTGTGTCAGTGTGTGTGTGTCAGTGTGTGTGTCAGTGTGTCAGTGTGTGTGTCAGTGTGTCAGTGTGTGTGTGTCAGTGTGTGTGTGTGTGTCAGTGTGTGTGTGTCAGTGTGTGTGTGTCAGTGTGTGTGTCAGTGTGTGTGTCAGTGTGTGTGTCAGTGTGTCAGTGTGTGTGTGTCAGTGTGTGTGTCAGTGTGTCAGTGTGTGTGTCAGTGTGTGTGTGTCAGTGTGTGTGTCAGTGTGTGTGTGTGTCAGTGTGTCAGTGTGTGTGTGTGTCAGTGTGTCAGTGTGTGTGTCAGTGTGTCAGTGTGTGTGTCAGTGTGTGTGTCAGTGTGTGTGTGTGTGTCTTCCAGGCATCGTCCTGACTCGGGTGGGTTACTACACCCTCCCCTCCATGCAGGAGCTGGCTGAGATGGTGGATGAAAACGGAGAGTGCGTGGTGGAGAACTTCACCATCGGCAGAAAAGGTAACGTGGATCTGGGCGCCGCTCTCTGCTCCGACCGCTCCCACCGCCCCAAAGTCTCACCCCTCTTCTTTGGCTGCTCCTCCCAGGATACGGCTCTGTGTTCTTCCCCGGGGAGGTGAACGTGACGGGGCTCAATCTGGACGACATCGTCCACTTCAGGCGCAAGGAGGTGATCGTCTACCCCGACGACAAGAACAAACCGCCCCAGGGGGAGGGGCTAAATCGGTGAGTGTCCGCAGAGAGACGGGGCTGAGGAGTACTTCCTGTTCTGACCCGACGCCCTCTGTTTGTCTCAGTCGTGCTGAGGTGACGCTGGACGGAGTCTGGCCCAACAACAAGACCACCTGCACTCAGATCAGGAGTCCTGAACGTTTGGCTGAAATCAACTACGAGGGTCGGCTGGAGAAGGCTTCACGAAAACAGGGAGCGCGCTTCCTGGAGTACAGACCTGAGACGGGCTCCTGGGTCTTTGAGGTGGGCTCCCGTTGATGTCCACATGGGTCAGGTTCTGGAGCAGCAGCTGACCACAAAAAGAAGACCGTCCTCAGTCAAACTTCTCCTCTTCTCTCCTCTCACCCCTAGGTGGCCCACTTCTCCAAGTACGGCCTCCAGGACTCTGATGAAGAAGATGACGCTGCACTAAAAGTCGACACCAAAAAGCTGAAGATGTCCGTCCCTCCGTCCAAGCTGCCACCGTTTGATAAATCCTCCACCCAGCAGCAGGTGGCGCCACAGGCTCAGGTAGAGCAGAACCCCAGTCGTCTTCTACTTTGCCCCCACCAAACCCCATTTGATCTTTAATAAATATAAATGTCTGAAGCCTCGTGAAGCCCATCAGGGCCCCCCACCCCCACTTTGAAACAACCCGGTTCAGGAAGCGTCGCCTTCACTGCTCTGTGTTTGACTTGATTCTTTCAGTCCACGGTGGTCATCGATCTTCCTGGGGGCGTGGCTGAGTTGGACAGCGACATGGCTGACATCACACAGAGCTACCCAACAGAGAGCATGCTGGGAGAGGGGGAGGAGGTAACTGAGCTGCCATTGGGTGAGACGGAGATGAACGCCAAACTGGGGGGTCTGATCTCTGCCGGCTACGAAAACTGCATCTCAGCGTCCAGTCAGCTGGCGTCCACGCTGGGCCTCAACCCCCACGCCCTGCAGGTACCGGTGCTGCTGACGCCCACTGACGCCACCAGGCTGAGGTCAGGGTTCAAACCTCTCACTCCTCCTCCTCCTCCTCCTCCTCCTGCAGGTCATGAAGGCGTCGTTGTTTGTTGAAGATGATGAAGAGATGGACCTGTTTCAGGATCGCACTGCTCCGAGAGTGACCTCTGACATCTCCTCGCCTCGACCGCTGCCGGCGCCTCAGAGCCGACCTTCAGGTCAGAGATCGGTGCTGGTGCTTTGTGAATTTAACAAACATTCTAAAGAGCTGTGAAGCACGTCTCCCTAAGGGGGGCGCCAGAGCACTGACCCTAACCCACCAGCGAACTCACTGGTTCATCCAGACTTGACTTGGCCTGCCTCACTCTCATGTTTTAGTACCGCTAAATGGCCACACGAGGCAGCAGCAGTCCATCAAAGTTTCCTGGGTCAAAGGTCACAGTGACATTCACCAATAATGAGTGAACGAGAGCTTTATTTCAAACAAACAAACGGTGTCAGATTCACACGTTAATGTTGTCGTTTTTCTTGTCGTTCTGACGTTTTATCCATAACTGGCTGACATCACACAGAGCTACCCAACAGAGAGCATGCTGGGAGAGGGGGAGGAGGTAACTGAGCTGCCATTGGGTGAGACGGAGATGAACGCCAAACTGGGGGGTCTGATCTCTGCCGGCTACGAAAACTGCATCTCAGCGTCCAGTCAGCTGGCGTCCACGCTGGGCCTCAACCCCCACGCCCTGCAGGTACCGGTGCTGCTGACGCCCACTGACGCCACCAGGCTGAGGTCAGGGTTCAAACCTCTCACTCCTCCTCCTCCTCCTCCTCCTCCTGCAGGTCATGAAGGCGTCGTTGTTTGTTGAAGATGATGAAGAGATGGACCTGTTTCAGGATCGCACTGCTCCGAGAGTGACCTCTGACATCTCCTCGCCTCGACCGCTGCCGGCGCCTCAGAGCCGACCTTCAGGTCAGAGATCGGTGCTGGTGCTTTGTGAATTTAACAAACATTCTAAAGAGCTGTGAAGCACGTCTCCCTAAGGGGGGCGCCAGAGCACTGACCCTAACCCACCAGCGAACTCACTGGTTCATCCAGACTTGACTTGGCCTGCCTCACTCTCATGTTTTAGTACCGCTAAATGGCCACACGAGGCAGCAGCAGTCCATCAAAGTTTCCTGGGTCAAAGGTCACAGTGACATTCACCAATAATGAGTGAACGAGAGCTTTATTTCAAACAAACAAACGGTGTCAGATTCACACGTTAATGTTGTCGTTTTTCTTGTCGTTCTGACGTTTTATCCATAACTACAGATTCTCTCTCTCTCTCTCTCTCACAGTGGGGGGTCTTCTTCAGGCCCGTTTTACCTCGTGCCTCGTTTCTCAGTTCCCAGACTCCCCCCGTCTTCCTCCCCCTCCTACATCTCTCTCCCAAGTGTCTCCCGCAGTGGGTGACTCCCCCCACCGCCCTCAGTGGTCGAAGCCGGCCTCCTCCTTTCTGCTCCCCCCTCGAGTCCCCGAGCCGACCATCAGGACGGTGGGTGTGCGGCGGCTGGGTGGCCCCGTCCCCCTGAAAGAGTCGGTGACTCTGGGAAAGGTCAGTTCAAAGGTCACTTCCTTCATGAACCATGGTTAACCTGTGGTCAGTGGTTAAACCGGGTCAAACCTGTCTGACAGGGGGGGCTGTTGATGGACGCCGGTCTCTTCATGGGCCGGTCCTTTCGGGTCGGCTGGGGTCCCGGCTGGACCCTGGCTCACTGCGGAGATGGTCTGAGTTCAAGGACCTCCAAACAGCTGGAGCTGCAGGAACTGGACCCCAAGACGGACTTCAGCTTCCTGCCAAAACCTGCCAGGAACAAACCGTGAGTAAACACCAACGTCGTCCTTTTCATGGTCGTCGAACACAACCGCGACCGGTGACATCATCAACTCTCCCACAGACTGGCTCAGAGTCCTTATAAGGTGGTCCTCGAGCGGGTCCAGGGTCTGGACTCCCCCGTGACGAAGACCGGTGAGGAGGAAGAGGAGGACGATTACAGTCAGACTATACTGCAGCGCCCCCTGGAAATCTGTCTGGAGCACAGCACCATCAGCACCACAGAGGAGTCTGCCTGCCCCCTGGTGGCCCCGCGGCCCGGTGTGTCAGCGCTGCACCAGTACGCCAAGTGGATCACAGAGCTCAACGACAAGCACGGACACGCAGACGGTGAGTGGAGCAGCAGGGACGACGATGATGATGATGATGATGATGATGATGATGATGATGATGATGATGATGATGTCACGGCGCGGTCTCAGACTCTAACCGTCCGTCTCTGTCCTCCTGCAGCTCTGCTGCGACACTGGGCCGAGGTCTGGACCCTCTGTGAGGCCCTGTGGGGCCGCCTCAGCCCCGCGGACCAGGATCTGGACACCAACGCCCTCAGTGACTACCAGCAGCAGCTGGAGAGGAGGCGGACCTTCTCTGCCTGGCTGTCTTGCGGCGCCACCTCCAGGGTAGAGGAGGAGGTGTCTGTAGCAGGGAAAGGTTGTCACGTGGAGGCCATTTTCAGCTACCTCACAGGAAACCGCATCAGCGAGGCGTGTCAGCTCGCTCAGAAAGAAGGTGAGAACGTTCTCCACGGAGACTGAAGGTCGACTGAAGGTCGACTGAAGGTCGTGTTCTTTAATTCAATGACGGCTTAGAGAGAAAAATAAAGGAGTTTATTTAAAAGAGGCTTAACTGACCACTAGAGGCAGCAGTAGACCGTCAGACAGGGGGCGCTGTCTCTGCAGCCTAACTTTTAAGAACCTTCTCACACCGCTGGCGTCCATCGGTTCCTCAGGTGACCACCGCCTGGCGCTGCTGCTGTCTCAGGCCGCGGGCTCGCAGCACTGCCGTGACCTTCTGACCCTTCAACTGGCTGACTGGAACCGCATGCAGACCGAGCTGTACGTGTCGGAGGAGCGTCTGCGCATCTTCACGCTGCTGGCGGGAAAACCTGTGAGAGAACGTCGGTGGGTTCTAACGGTCGTAGGTGGAGAAGTGTTCCTCAGGGTCTGGTTCTGTCTCTCCTCAGGTGTGGCAGTCGTCCGACTCCCTGGTCAACGTCTGCGGCCAGCTGGACTGGAAACGCTGCGTGGCCGTTCATCTGTGGTTCATGCTGCCTCCGACCGCCTCGGTGGCCGACGCCCTGGACAAATACCAAGCTGCCTTCAAGGTCAGACCTCTGACCTTCACTCTGTGAGGGGGGTCTGGAACTGAGAACTGAAAACCTAGTTTCACGTCTGCTGCAGGGCTCCGGAGAAGGAGGGAGGTACGCCTGTGCTCCGCTGCCCCCCTACCTGGAGGAGGAGGAGGAGGAGGAGGAGGAGGATGAAGAGTCCAAACGACAGCTGTACGACCTGTGCTTTCATCTGCTCAAACTCTACAGTGACAGGTAACACGCCATCTAGTGGCAGCCTGAGGTATCGACTGAGTTCTGTGTCTTAGACAAGTCATGTTTGAGTGACCTCTGACCTCCTCCTGCAGACACTACGGCCTGCAGCAGCTCCTGGACCCTCTGACCGTCACCCCCCAGCGTCTGGACTATCGTCTGAGCTGGCACCTGTGGGGGGTGCTGCAGTCTCTGCACTACAGCCACCTGAGCTCCGCCCGTCAGGGGCTGCTGCACACCAGCTACGCCGCCCAGCTGGAGAGTGCCGGCCTGTGGCACATGGCCATCTTCATCCTGCTGCACATTCCTGAGCCGGGGTCCGTTCTTTCACCTCGTCATTCATCAAAAAAAAAACAAAAAAAAATCTAACTGACAGCACCAAGCATCTCCACCAGAGGGCAGCACTATCATACAGCCACAACCTGGTTGACAAATTGTTGTTGTTGTTCTTCTTCTTCTTCTGTCTTCAGCCAGCGGGAGCGAGCTGTCAGGGAGATGCTGAGCCTACACTGCCCCCTGAGGGCGACAGAGGAGTTTCTGCGCCGAGAGCGTTTCCTCACAGAGAGACTGCTGATCCCAGAGACCTGGATCCACGAAGCCAAGGCCACACGGGCCCGCAGACATGGAGACAAACAACAGGAGGCGCTGCACCTGTACCGAGCCGGACACTGGAACCAGTGTCACCGTCTGGTGATCCAACACCTGGCCTCAGGTCTGACTCTGCCCCCTTGTGGCTCTTAGCTATAGAGCAGATAAAACATGCTGCTGTATCCAGAACAGCGCCCTCTTCTGGATACAAGGATTACAGTCCTGCCAACAGTCCTAACGTCTCTGGTGTCTCTCCTCTACAGACTGTATCATCAACGACAACCACGACTTCCTGCTGGAGTTCCTGGAAGGTCTGGCTGTTCCTGAACACAGCAGCAGCGTCCAGGACTGGGACACAGCCGGGAAGGTCTACCTGGACTACATCAGGGTCGTCAAGGGTCTGCAGCAGATCCAGCAGGTCTCTGTCCCTGTCTCTCTGTCATTGGACCCAGAGGGTCTTGGTGTTAATGCTTTTTATTTTAGAACCGATGTAACTCTGCGTGTGTGTGTGTGTGTTCAGATGGAAAACACTGGTTATGAGTTGGAGCGACTCTACACTGATGTGACTTCACTCTGTGGCAGAATCGAACACCTGCCCTGTGCCACAGCCAGAGACCGCCTGGCCCAGTCAGGTGATTTTTACACACTACAAGCTAACGAACGAGGTTAGCTTTGTATGAATTAAATGTGTGTAACCCCGCCCCTTCTTATGTAACCCCGCCCCCTCCGCTCTCACAGAGATGGCGAAGCGTGTCGCTAACATCCTTCGGATGGTGCTCAGTCTGCAGCAGGGCGACTCCACCTCTGACTCCCTCGGTCTCCCCCTGGCTCAGTTAGCGCCCCACATCACCCGACTGCCGATGCCCGAGGACTACGCCCTGGAGGAGCTGCGTGGACTGACGCAGTCGTACCTGCAGCAGCTGTTCGTCAGGTAGTGAGAGCCGACGTTTCCACGTCAGGACAAGATGATTAAAAAGATCGCCCTGATTCAGAGAAGTTACCACAGGGTGCACGTACGTGCACGTCAGGTTTTAAAATGTAAACAACATCAAACGTCACCTGTAGCTAACATTATACTCCTTTATTTTCTTCTTTGTCGGGACAGTCACGGGCGACGTTAAGTATGGACAGCTGCTGACTGTGACATGAGCTCTTGTTTACTTTTTAACTGAATCTGCTGACGTCTAATTAACAGGAACGAACATTTTTATTGGTTAAAACGGATAATGTTGACAAAACGGCTAGCGCTAACGTCACAGGTTCGACTAGAATTGTGTTGAGATCAAGTGCTCATATTCAGCAAAGCGAAGGATAAAGATGTAGAAGTGCTTCAGTGAAGTCGAGGACTAGCGATCAGTTTGGTTAAAGCTAATGTAGCGCCAAGCTAACGTTGACACGACGAAGGTCAATTTATCTAAAAGAAGCTAAAACTACAACATCTACTGATGGGCTAATGGTTGTCATTTAAACAATGCTAACTGTTACCCGCAGGAAAGTCTTGTTGCCCACTGTAAGTTTTTTTAATCTTGGTGTTTCCATGGCAACACTGCTACAGATGGGTGTCAATCTTCTATGAACTTTGACCTCACATTTTGCTAACAATTCTTTTTGGTTTTGTGAAAACAACTTCTATATCGGCTCAGATTAGCATTAGCTTTTGCCTGCCAACAGCTGGGAGCTTAGCCTAGCGCAGTGCTGGGTTAGCATCGTATTAACTTGTTTATATGTGAATAAAAGTCAGTCGATGAACCAGAGCAAATGTTTCAAATGCAGACGATCTATTTTTGTAGATTTGGGTTTTTTTGTTTGAATGTATAAAGTGTGATGTCATCAGATATAAACAACAAAGTTCATTCCCTCATTGGTAAATTCATTCATAGATTGGTCAGCTGTCACTTTGCCAAAAAAATATTTTCATTGTAAAATTGGTTTTGTTCTTTGCACCTCGTGTGTGTTGATATTTTTAATAAAGTTGATTAGAAATAACATGGTTTGGCCTGGACTCACAGACACCGTCGTACCTACAGTATATCACAGTACATCGCCCTCTATCATCACAACTATCACAGCTCCAGATTGTTGACGACTGCCCCCCCCCCATTCACCACCACTTTTTTTTTCTTGCTCTTTGATTGTCGTCTCTCACCCTCAGCTGTTTTCTCCACTGAAGAGACGACACCTTGATTTAAACCTTAACACTTTTATTACACAGTTTTCAGCAGATCAACTTTTACACTTGTTTAAATTCCATTTTAAACACAAACATCACTTCAGCACCACCTGGTGACGAACACAAACACAAACCGTTCACGTTCACACACGTGCACAACGACCACTTCAGGAATGATGGGACTTTTCATACAACAAACATCACAAAAGACAACGGTTTTCATTAGAAAATAAATAAATCGCAGCGTCGTCCGAGCACCACCAGAGGTCGCAGGTCACACTCCTATGTCACCATGTACTCCTGACGTTTGTTCAGTCGCACCTGACACAGGGAGATGGCGCCCACCACCACGTAGACGGCCGCCGCGATGAAGCAGTTGATGCCGACCTGACTGTAGAGGTTGTAGATGTTGAGAGGAGGATTTTTACTGTGGACAGAGAAGGAGGAAGAGGAAGAGGAGGAGATCCGGTCAACAACACTGATCTGTCATCTGCATGTTTCTGGACTGACCCTGACGCTACACATGCAGCAGTTAGAGCTGGGACTAGAACCAATGAAAGAACAGTATCCACGGACCATGTGACTACTCAACAGTTACAGTACGTGTTCTAAAACAAATACAGAAAGAAAAACGAGTTCGATTTGACCCAACAACTGAAACGGTCACTTACTCGTTGCGGATGTCCTCCTCGGTGAACGGGACGTCCTCGATCAACACGGCCGACTTGGCGCTGAAGAAGATTCCCAGCATTCCCTGGAAGAACCCAACAACAGAAGTCACCAAAACATCTGAACTTCCTGTGGGGGCAGCAGTGTGAAATGGATAACTTTGGTACAGACTTCAGGCTGGAGGATAAGGAGGAAGTCAAGTCTTGATGCCAGCTATAATAGGAAATACTACTTCCTGTTTTGAAAGTCACATGATTCATCTGCAGTGGCTTCGTTGACCAGTCACAGTGTAGTCGTTACGTACTGTACGAACCATCGGTCATTGAGTCGTTTTTATACAGTAAATCCTTCAACACATTTATCGACATCCCGGAACTAAATGTTTGACATTAACAACAACACATTTACTGATCATTTGCCGCCGTGAGCGGAGCTCGGCTACAGCGGTGTGATCCCGGCTCGGGCTCCGTCTATCCACTGAAGTCGGTCGTTTTTCACGGTTTGAGTCGCGACACGCGATATTATTTAACACAAATAGACGCCATTAAAATGTTTTTTAACAACGTAGAAAATAATTATACATCTACTGTTTAAAATGAAACATAACTCGTGTGTTCGTCTTCATATCCTATCCAGGAATTAGTCAGCTGCCAATGCCCCACGGTTCTTACCAACATGATGACCCCCCAGATGCTGATAACGATCCCGCAGGCGGCCATCTTTGGCCCGCAGAACAGCAGTGACGGCATGTCAGCGCTGAACTGTTCGATTTTGTGCAATTTTTATTTTAATTCCACCACAGAGAAACGTCCTTTCCTGACAGTTGTCGAAGCACCAGGCAGGTCAGCTGATCCTCAGGAATCGGGTCTTCTCGGAAAAACTCGGTTAACGCAGCACCTCGGTGTCCAATCAGGAAACGCTACACGACTACTCCCCACCTCCTTTCGTAAACGAACCAATCACCTTCGACATATTCTGGAGTCAGTCAAAAGAAGGCGGTCAGCTGACTCGTTTCAATTCGGTTGCAGTCGGAGGAGTTCGGGCTTTGCCGTAAGACGCACTACGGTCGGCCAATCACAGCGTCTCTTTGTTGATGAAGACAGCAAATAAGAAGTATGAAGCGCTTTGCCCGCCTCTTCCGGCTTCACTGACCTATACGGTAACAGATTTTCGAGACTGGCGTCTTTCCTTCCGCGCCGCGCTTTCTTTTGTTTTTGGTTTCAAATCGGTCATTTCTTTCGATCATGTTATGTTTAACGATTTCCAAACGTATCCAACCACGGCGAGTTTGTCCCAGCCCCGTTCTCTTTTAGAATATCGTAGATGTTTTTTGATGGAAGGACGTTAGCACCGGTTAGTTAGCTAACGTTTGCAAATGCTACCTGTGTTAGCTAGCTTTGAGCTCTATTTTGACAGTGAAAACGCTTCAGTTACGTCAGTGAGATGACTTCAGCGTCTGCGAAGGTGAGTTTCTACTCCCTCCACACACCTGTGCGTTAACAACACCAACACTTCGCGGCTGGTTTTTCGTATTTAGGTCAATATCGTGACAAATGGTGTGATGTGCAGTTGAAGTTGGTTTGATGGTCGTTTTGGTAGAACAGAGTCACAGTCTCTGAACCAGACATCATAGCAGGTCTCACTACTGTCTGCTGAAACCTGACCTTTGAACTTTGCCGGTGTTCTTTTGTCACTGTTCACCCCTGACTCCCCTGACTCCCCCTCCTCTCTTGTCCCTGACTCTCACCCACATCCAGAGTTTCTCTTCCTCTGCTCTGGAACAAATGCATTTATTGATCAGGATTATTATTGCTGTAGTGTTTGATGTGATTGGTTATCAATTATCTGAGCTACAGTGAACGTGTCGTCTGAGTTGACTTGACCTATGTTGACCTTTGACCCCACAGGTGGGAGAGATTTTCTCAGCAGCAGGAGCTGCTTTCACTAAACTAGGAGAACTGACCATGCAGCTCCACCCAGTGTCAGACTCCAGTCCTGCAGGGTAAATCACTGTACACACCTTTACCTGTGGATGAGTTTATACAGAAATACTAAATGACATCATCACAGATGAAGCAGGGAGGAAAATGAAAATTGCTCACCTTGTTTTCCAACTCCCATAATAGCTGGGAGTGTTTAGTGGCAAGAATCTGTCGATACCATACGTATCACGATACAGGGTCAACGATGTCGTGATACAGTGGTCCCTCTCCTATCGCAGTAGTTTAGTTTCAAGACCCACCGCGAAAAGAGTAAATCCACGAAGTAGAGTCGAGATAATGAGAGGACAGTTAAAGAAGAACCGCGATACAGAGAGGGAACAAAGTTATACTGCAATATACAGAGTGTGATCCTAGTCTCAGACTCTGCCCCCCCCCCAGTGTGATCCTAGTCTCAGACTCTGTTCCATCTGAAAATAAGTTCCTACCCCTGGAACCAACGGATCTACACTTT